AGCCAACAACATAAACAGTATTTTAACATTTTTACAAAATGCTAACTCAGCATTGTGACACACACACACACACACACACACACACACACACACTGGTATCAGTTTGTTCCTGGTCTCCATTTAGAGTGGTCACCACCAGTTGTCTGGGAGGGGACGTTCTTGGCACCTGACCCCCCTCTCCCTGCCTGCTATCCTCAGGGTGATGTGTCCTTGGTCTTATCTCAGGCAGGAGCGTATGCCCGGCGGCAGGAGACGGAGGCTGGTGCCTGGTGTGTGGACCCAGCGTCCGGAGATGGGGAGCTACAGGGCACAGATAACAGTGGCTCTTGTGAGTTGTCATGTTCCCTTCTACTCCCTGCCCAGAAAGCCCCCTCCAGTGACCACAGGGCATGGAGTCCCCATGCTGATTTCATTTCCTACTTCTGCTGCAGACACAGTGCACAACCTCGCCCACCTCTGCTTTCTCACCCATAATGTAGGGGTGACACCCACTCCCTCCCTGGCACAGGGGTGTGGCTTTGTCCCCTAGAGAGCACAGACCAGCATTGGTCCCCAGGGAGGTGGGCAATGACGCTTCCCAGTTGTGCAGCACCAATGCCACAGCAGGCTCCCTCCTGGCCCCTCTGCTTCTGTCCTGGTCCTGGTCCTGCTGTCCTGGTCCTGCTGTCTGTCTGGTTTCCACGCTGTAGTCAAGGAGGTGCCCAGAAAATGCAAATGTGATGAGGTCCCTCCTCTGCTGCCCCCTTTACTCAGGGTCAAGTTCAAGCCCTTGGCACAGCTCAAGGGCCTGCTGGTGCATCTGACTCCTGGGCATCTCTAAGTCTTTGCTTGTCCTACTCTCACACTGGAGGGTTCTGGTGCCGTAATTCTGTGTCTAATGCCATAGCATCAATTCTGACTCAAAGCCACCCTACAGGACAGAGTAAAACTGTCCCCATAGTCTTCCCAAGCCTGTAATCTTTATGGAAACAGACTGCCACGTCTTTCTTCATGGAGCAACTGGTGGGTTTGAACCACTGTTGTTTCAGTTAGCAGCTGAGTGATCAACCAGTGTGCCACCAGTGTCTGTGGTAAGCTCTAATCAGTGAGTGGACACTCTTCCCCTGAGCCTTCACTGTTTGTTCTACCACCTGCAATTGCTCTTTTGCCCCCACACTCTGACCCAGCTGATCCTTACTCAGACCGTCGTCAGCCCCCAGAAATTCTCTCTCCTCAGAACTGAATTCAGTACCTCCTACCAAGCCTCTTCACCTGTTGCCTTCATGACACTGAGCTCTCGTTCTCTTCAGGACTCTAAGCTCCTTGAGGGTGGGCAAGGGGAGTGTTCAGAGCCAAGCAGTCCAACATCCTGGGGGACAGGAAGGCAGCCCAAGACCCCTGGGGAGCCTGCAAGTGGGTGGTGTTGGATGGCGTGGGTGTGGACTGTGGTGGTGGGTGGTGTTGGTAGAGGTGGGTAAAGGACAGTAGAGGTGGGTGGTGTTGGTGGAGGTGGGTGTGGACAGAGGTGGTGGGTAGTGTTGGTGGAGGTGGGTAGAGGACAGAGGTGGTGGGTGGTGTTGGTGGAGGTGGGTAGAGACAGTAGAGGTGGGTGATGTTGTTGGAGGTGGGTAGAGGACAGAGGTGGTGGGTGGTATTGGTGGAGAGGGTAGAGGAAAGTAGAGGTGGGTGGTGTTGGTGGAGGTGGGTATGGACAGAGGTGGTGGGTAGTGTTAGTGGAGGTGGGTAGAGACAGTAGAGGTGGGTGATGTTGGTGGAGGTAGGTAGAGGACAGAGGTGGTGGGTGGTATTGGTGGAGGTAGGTAGAGGAAAGTAGAGGTGGGTAGTGTTGGTGGAGGTAGGTAGAGGACAGTAGAGGTGGGTGGTGTTGGTGGAGGTAGGTAGTGGACAGTAGAGGTGGATGGCCATAGGAGCTATTATTGTAGTAGGTGGAGTTACGTGACCTATAGGTGCTGAGAAAGCTGTGCATTGTGAAAAGAGCCCTGAGCCATCCCTCTGTTTGTCCTTTATCAGGCCCCAGTGTCTGTGAGTCACTCAGGAATGGAGCTCTCGAGAAGAGGGTTGGACTAGGTTACACCCCAGCCTGCCAGGCAGGAGCTGGGTCCTTCTCCCCTGTGCAGTGTGACCCAGCTGGGGACAGCTGCTGGTGTGTCCTGGCAGGTGGAGAGGAGGTCCCTGGGACCCGCGTGGTCGGGAGCCAGCCTGCCTGTGAGCGTAAGTTGGGGTCCCCTACTCCTAGGGGCTCCCTGGGCTCGGGACCCCGCCCATCTGTGCCTTGACCCAGGCTGGTGTCTGTTCAGAGTGAGAGGGGGTCAGACAGAGGGAACAGAAGTCAGACTAACCTGAGAGCAGACAAGTAGAATGGGCTGTGGGGTGAGCTGGGGTCTGGAGAGGAGCAGCTGCAGAGAGAACCCCCAGCCCACCCCTGGGGCCTGGCAGATGCCCACAGCTGTCCTCTTTACTCCTCCCAGGCCCAGAGTGCCCGCTCCCATTTGGTGTGACTGAGGCTGTCAGCGGAACCGTCCTGTGTGAGGAGACCTCGAGTGAGGGAGCTGCCAGCACCCAGCAGTGTCAGCTGAGGTGCCACCTGGGCCACCACAGTGTCTTCCTGCCACACCCCCTGGTGTGCAGTGTGGACAGCAGACGCTGGGAGACAGGGCCACCACTGCCCCAGGCCTGCCAGAGTACGTGGCCTTGAGGTGGCTTCCCTGCCCCCTGCCGTGCCTCTCAGACCAGAGGGCACATGTGATCATTTCATTTGCCAAATGTAGCATTGGTGTGGTCAGCTGTGTACATGGAGCAGAGAGAGGGATTGACAGAGCATCGTCTAGAAGGAGCGAATGAGGTGTCCTTCATCTTTGACCGCTCTTGGGGCCGTCTGCTCCTTGGAAGAATGGTCCTCATTCCAAGCTGTCCAGGGGGTCTTGAGTAACTGCTCTAAGAGTGGCATGATTACTGTGGTGCTGACCTTCTCTGACCTATGAGCGTGGCCCTGTGACAACTGGTCTCCCTCCCATGTCTGTCTGTACCTGCAGGGTTAGTGTCCAGTAGAACGGGAGTCCAGACCTTGCTCCAGGCAGGGCTTGTTTCTGGTCACTGTGGTCTGTGCTCTGTTTCAGTATCTCCCTGCTTAGCATGCAGCATGCTGTGGGCACTCACAGCCAGATGGGCAACTTGGGCAGCTGGACCTAGCCGTGTGTTCATTACTGCAGTGGGGTGGGCACTTGGGAAAGAGACCCAGAACTTGGGACTGAATGGCACAGTGTCCATGGATAGGATTTGTTGCAAAGCTTTCTGGGATAGGAGGTACCCCCTCTACAAAAAAGTTTAAAATGTGATTTAGACAAAGAAATGGCCTGCCCTGGGAGCTCTGACAGGGCAGCCGGAGCTGCAGTTGAGACCAGGATTGTCACCATTGGATCTGGGAAACAGAGGTGTGGATCTTGAGGGGCTATAATTGAATGTAGGGCTTCTATGTATGGTTGTGCAAGTCGTGCACTGAACAACCCTCATGGTTGCAGTTCCTAACCTGCAAAATCATACGTGCTGATCCTGCTTATGTGCAACCTGTTTTCTCGGGGGAGAAATTCTTTGGGAAGATCTTCCAAGCAGGATGCTGTTCAGGCCCACCCCAAATGTAAGACACCCTTGGTTTAGAGGTTAAGACAGGGCTGAATTTGCTGGGAGACGATGGAGTGCTTTCAGAGACAAACCAACATGTTAGAAGTATTTAGACTCTGAGGGAAACAGCGCAAAATGACAATGCTTGTGTGCTGTAATGAAAGGAGGAAGAACTGTATAGGCAGTGGAAAAACCAAGCACAGAAAAGAGCCCCACGGCCTCTTGCCTCTGCCTGCTGACCCCTAGTGTTGCCCGCAGGGCTCCAGCCATGGCAGACGGTCCAGACCACAGCGCAGTTCCAGCTCCGGCTTCCACTAGGCAAGATGTGCAGCGCCGACTACGCGGGCCTGCTTCAGGCTTTCCAGGTCTTCGTGCTGGATGAGCTGAAGGCCCGCGGCTTCTGTCAAATCCAGGTAGGCCCCCGCTTTCCCCAAATGAGGGTCACTGAGGCAGAGAATCTTGTGGCTTCAATGGATTTAGGGTTGAACTCTCATTCCTATTTACCGGTGGGGAAACTGAGGTGCCAAATGGGACAACCATATGACCAAGACTCATTACCTAGAGTCTGAGGTGGACTTCTTACCTAGCCCTGCTTGCCCTGGCTTCTAGACCACGATGTCACATGTGTACTGAGCACTTGTTACATGCCTGGTACCTCTTCTCCTTTGGCATGGATTGGCTAAAGCCATCCTCAGAGGAACCCAATTGTACCACCATTTGGTAAATGCAGAAAATGAAGACTAGAGAGTTAAAATCACTGGCCAGAATCCCCCAGCTAGGGCATGTTAGAGCCAGGGACAGAGCGGAGAGCAGTCCTGTGGTCTCCCCCGCTACCTTCCAGTGAGGCCTTTCTGAGGAGGTGGCATTTGAGGGGCCTGCCTGAGGTGAGGTGACGGCCTCATGGCTATCTGGGGAGAATGAATCCCTGCAGAGGAAATAGAAGGGCTGCTGTCCTTTGACAGAGACATTCTTGGCAGATTTCACAAAATCTGGGAGGCTGTGGGCAGGGGTGCAGTGGGGGGAGGGCCTTGTCTATGGCCTTACTGGAGTCACATGATATGGTGGAGATGTCAAAGTTCACTCTGGCTTCTGTGTGGAGAATGGACGGACTTGTAGGGGCCAAGGGTAGGAGCATGGAGCTTTGGCGTGGTCTTGGCTGAGGTGATGGGAGTGCAGAAGGTAAAAAGCTGAAGGATTCAGGACAACTGGGACGGCAGAGCTGACTGGATTGAGCCATCGACAATGTTTTGAGGGGAAGGGAAGACTCAAGGAGATGGGTTTAGGGCCTGAGGTGAATGCCTAGTGCTGCCACTTACGTGATGCAGAAGTTAAACACCACATACCAAGAAACAGAATGTTCCAAAATACTGGGGACCTCAGGACTGAGGACCATGCTGAAGACTGAGATGGGGTCAGGATGCAGTATGGGTTTAGTCTGGGGAGCTTCCAGGTGTCATGTTCTGGCAATGAGACAGATAGCTTCTAAGACCAGGGGCAGGTTTTATTCTTTGGAAGTTGGAGACACAAGTTTTAGAGTCTGATGGATCTAGATTCAAACCTTGAGTCTACCACTTATTACCATTGGGACCAGGGCCTTTGCCAGCCTGGCTGAGCCTCACACTGCTCCTCTCTGGAATAGGGGTAGTAGTACCAACCTTGAGGACTAGGCTTAAATGAGACAATGTGCAGAGTCAAATTCTCTGTTCCTCACACTCTGCCGGGTGGTTAAATCATAGGTTCTGGGCAAACTCCACCTTTATTAGCTGTGTGATTCTGAGCAAAGTTACTCAGCCTCTCTGAGGTAATTTCCCATCTCTCATATGGGGTAATGATCGTTCTGACTTCAGAAGTTTGTTTTGGAGATTAAATTAGCTAATTTTAAACACCCCAAACAGAATCTGACTTTGTGGTTGTTGTTAAGTAAAGTCAAGTCTGTTTCGACTCATAGTGACCCTGGATAGGGTTTCCACAGAGTGGCTGTTGAATTTGAACCGCTGACCCTGTACTTCACACTGACCTTGCAGTCCAATGCTTTATCCCACAGCATCACCCCAGGACTCCACATCAACACCTGACTAATGGGAAATCTTTGAAAGCTATTACCACACTGTCATCTGATAAAACAAAGACAGAAGGTCCTCACTAAATGACATCAACATAAACCCACCTCAACGAACTCACCTCATTTGGGAGGCTGAGCGGTGGTAGGTGAGGGTCTGGTGAACATTTCCCATGCGTAGCATGAGATTCTGACCTGCAGAATCAGTGTATGTTTGCTGAAGTGGATGACTTCGGAGACCACTGTCCTGACCCCAAGGAGAGGGCTGAGGGCTCTCAGCACCACAGCAAAGTTGACCCTCCATTGTGACCTTCCTTCACAGAACCTTTCCCTTAAGTGCCCAGCATTCTCACTCTTTTAGAAATCCAGATTTATGGAAATCAACTTCTCAGGGGTCTATATCTTAATATATGGGAAGTTGGTTTTTGCAAGAGGATGGTGTGGAGAGGGTAGTGTGACGCTCTCTTGAACCTTGGGTCTGTACCAGGCACCGTTTGGGACTCAGTAGACTACACAAATGTCCAGTGCCCACCCTGCCCTTTAGAAGGCTGCTCACTGACCTTTAGGGTGAACCACCACAGCCACACTTGGACTGGGAGGAAAGATGGGGTTGTACAGCCAAAATGGGGGAGCCAGAGGAGGTTACAGGAGCTCGGGGTCAGGAGAGTTTGTGTCCCACTGGCTACATGAGACTTCCAAAAGTTCATGGAAAAATAGAGTTAAAAGATACTGGAATTGCCTCACAGAAGCAGCCATCTGCTGCTGCCTGCAATATGGAGACACAAGTTAGAACAGAGGGGCTTTCGTTGCATAGAACACGATTTCTTACTCCACTTCTACCTGTGTGAGCTGTGTGACTGGGCCAAGCTGTCCACTTCTCTGAGCCTCGCTTTTCACAGACAGGGCGAAGGGGGCTCATAGTGGCTCATGTACGATCGACATGAAGAATTAGCCAAGTAGCTAGCTGAGTCCTGGCACCTGGTGTGGGCTCCACCAATACTGACTTTCTGCTCGGCTGTGCTCTTGAACGGGAAACTTTTGTCTTGGTGTAGGCGAAGACTTTTGGGATCCCCGTTTCCATTCCTGTCTGCGACGACTCCACGGTGCTGGTGGAGTGTCTGACGGTGGAGCGTTTAGGGGTAAATGTGACGTGGAAATCTCGGCTGGAGGACATTCCAGTGGCTTCGTTTCCTGACTTGCAAAACATCGGTATGTTTTCTCACACTGTTACCTTGATGAAGTCATGTAACCTCTCCAAGCTTCAGTTTCCCTCTGGAGATCGAATCGGAGAGTTACGGTCCCGGTACAAGAGAGGAGCAAATTCTTAAAATGTATACAAGCTAATAATAGACTGGTCAATGGCTTACGAGAGTTCAGTAATGTTATCTGTAAGAAGTCAGGTCGGGCTTTTGTGGATATCTAATTCTTAATTTTCTGAGCACAGGAGTGTGAAGAAGGGGAGAATAGCTTAAAGCAAAGAGATCATATTGGTTTAAAGGACATATTGGTTTGGAAGCCATATTGGTGTAGAGGTCATATTGGTTTGGAAGCCATATTGGTTTAGAGGCCATATTGGTTTGGAAGCCATATTGGTTTAGAGGCCATATTGGTTTATAATTTATGGTCCACCAACTTCTGGTTGTAAACTTTTCAAACTGCATACACTATTGAAGCATGCTATTAAACAAATAAAATAACCTCACTGCTGTTGAGCTGATTAAGACGTTAGGTACTTTATAAGACAGAGTAGTATGCTCCATAGGGTTTCTGAGACTGTAATTGTTTATGGGAATAGACAGCTTCAGTTTTCTTCCTCGGAGCAGCTGGTGGGTTTGAACCCAATGCTTAACACACTATTCCTCCAAGGCTCATTAACATGTTAGTGCTTTATTTAAAATAGGGAAATTCTGATACAGCTGAGTCAAAAATAGTAAGATGTAAGAAGGAGTAGAGTGGATTTGAGGAGGAATAATATCAGTCTGGAGTCCTGGTGTGACACTGTAGGATGAACACTGGACTACTCCTTGGTAACCCTATACAGTAGGGGTAGGGAACCCTTTCTCTGCCAAAATTTACAACTCCATTCATGGGCCACCCAATATTATCAGCTTAAAAATTAGCTTGCTATATTTAGTCAAACATTAAAGTTTGGCGATTCAAGCTCACCAGTCGCTCTTGGTGGTGGTGGTGGTGTGCCTTGGAGTCGGTTCCAACTCATAGCGACCCTATACAGGGTTTCTGAGGCTATAAATCTTTACAGGAGCAGAAAGCCTCATCTTTCTCCCATGGAACAGCTGGTAGTTTCGAACTGCTGACCTTGAGGTTAGCAGTCCAATTTGTAACCACTGTGGTACCAGTCGCTCTTAGGAAACCTTATACAGGTCGCTATGGTTCGGAACCAACTTAACAGCGCTTAATATAACGCAGTATGATGCTGTGAGATGAAGCACTGTACTACTAGTTTGGTTTGACTGCCAGGTTAGCAGTTCACACATACCAGCTGTTCCTTGGAAGCTCTATCTAGGGTCACTATGAGTCAAAACAAACTCAACAGCACTCAACAATAAAAATGTGTTGGATGGAATTGTGGTGGCCTTGGCAAATGATTTTGTGGGCCTTATATGGCCCATAGGCCAAACGTGTTCCCTGGTTCCCTCCAACTATACAGGGTCACTATGAGTCAGAACTGACTCGACGGCACTTAACAACAACCCTAGTAACATCAGCATGCATTGTATTTAGCTCTGAATTTGCTGGCAGGTGAAGAAACCGTCCACATAATTCCATCTAATAGCCCAGTGTCCCATGGCCAGGACAGGTTGGAGCTTTTTCTCTGTCTATAAGGGGGGAACATTGAGGAAACATCCTAGAATTTAACCCAGGAGGCAGACGGCCTCTCTGTCATTGCCCAGTTTCAGTGGCACTTGCCTGGCATTATGAATGCGGGGTTCTTCCTCCACAAAGAACCTGGATGACAGGGTACAATGGGAACTGCAGTGGGAGGAGAAGTTTACTCCTGGCTTCAGTTGTGCACACAGTGAGCACTGAGACGTGGGGTCCAGGACTGGCCTTTCAGTAGCCTATGGCAGCACAAATGGGTGCTGAACATGGGGGTGCTCATGGATTGTCTTCCTGGAAATGCTTGGAGTGCCTCAGCTGGAGGAGGTGGAATGCCAGGTTGCTCCTGGAGCCCCTGCCTTCTCTTTGGGTTGCACCTTCTCATACATGATCTCCTATATTCCTTGACTGCAAAAGTGGAATTCCCAGGTCATTTTGCAGATGGTGAAATGAAGACTCAGAGATGTTAGATAGCCCACCAGAGGTAGACATGGAGAGGTATCGAGGTACTGGACCTTGATTCAATTGTGACAGAACACATGCCATCCGATACCAATGTGGACCTCAGGAAGCCACAAGACATAACCAGAGCTGGGTTTGCATCATAGTTGGGCTCCTTTCTCCTGTGTTACCTTGGGTCTCTCTCCTATCAAATTAGACTCCACATGCTTGTCCCAGATGATGCGCAAGATGATGCCCTTTCGGCATGAATGTTCTAGGCAGCTCTGACCTCTTGATCCTTTCTGACCTTCATAGAGAACAATGAAGTGACCCTCCTTTCTCTTCCTGTGTCTTACAGAGGAAGCTTTAGTAGGCAAGGATCTTGTTGGGCGCTTTGCAGATTTGATCCAAAATGGCGAGTTCCAGCTTCATCTGGATTCAAAGACATTCCCAGCAGACACCTCCATTCGCTTTCTCCAAGGGGACCGCTTTGACACCTCTCCCAGGGCCTGGTTCGGGTGTTTGGAAGGATTCTACAGGGTTTCGGCCACCAACAAAGACAGTCAGGATCCACTGGGATGTGGTAAGTTCCCCCTCACTTCCTGTTGCTAACATATCAGCTTAGACTTCTGACTCATGGTGACCCCATGGACACTAGAACAAAAGCCTTCCTGGTCCTTTGCCACCTTCATGACTGCTGGTCTGTTTGAGTCCATTTTTCAACCACTGTCATTGTCAGTGCTGTGTAACCAGAGGGCTCATTTTCCAGCACTGTATTCTCTTGTGGATCACAGAATTTTCAACTTCTGATTTTTAGAAGTAGATATCAGGCTTTGCATCCTAGACTGTCTTGGTCTGGAAGCTCCACCGAGGCCACCGCCCATCTATCAATGTGGTGGCTTGTGTGTTGCTGTGACACTGGAAGCTCTGGTATGACCACTCCTGGTGGACAGGTGGCAGCCAGTGGAGCTTCCAGACTGTAGTTACTGTGTTACTTGGACTCAGCAGAGTCATTCATTTATTTGAGAATCATTCATTGATTTATCCAACAGAAGGTTTTCAATGATCCACCTGTGTGGGCATGTAGTCGTTACCCATCAGAAGGCAGGTGAAACTAAGGTACAGGTGATGAAACAAGAAGAACCCCATGTTAGAAGTGATCCTTTCTCCTACCTCTTGATAACCTTGGACTCTATGACCTGGACTGTGTTGTCTTTGTACAGAAGTCTGATGTCCATCCTGGGCTCTCATGGGCATGTCTTAGTCTGGTTACAGCCATATGTTACTCATTAGAACCCCAAATGGCCGGTTTTCAGCCCTAGAACTCACCACTCTGGAGAACTGATTCTAAGTGGAGGTTCCCTGCAGTTGTTTCTTGTCTTTACACTGAAGTCATTTTCACTGGGATGAAATGATAAATTCCTCGAATGGTCACTCGTATTTCCCTATTGTGACTATTACTGCCAACTTAATCAGCATCAATCTCTTCTCTGAGGTTCTGTAGACCAGACATCTGACTTGGGTATCATTGGGTTCAAATCGGTGTTGGCACAGGACTGCATTCCTTTCTGGAAGATTTGGGAGGAATTTGGTCCCTTGACATCTTCAGCTTCTAAAGTTTGTTCGCTTTCCCTGGATTGTGGCCCCTTCACCGTCTTCAATGCCAGCAAGGGTTCTTCTCTTGGACCATTCTTCTGTCATCATGTCTACCTCCACCTCTTTTCTGCCTCATGCTTTCATGATTAAGGACCCTTGTGATTGCATCAGATGATCCAGGCCAATGGCTTATTGTAAGCTCAGTTGATTGATGGTGGTGGTGGTAGTGTACCGTGGAGCCAGTTCCGACTCATAGCAACCCTATACAGGGTGTCTGTCCGAGGCTGTAAATCTTTACGGGAGCAGAAAGCCTCATCTTTCTCACATGGAACCACTGGTAGTTTGGAACTAGCTGACCTTGAGGTTCGCAGCCCTACTGACAGCCACTTGACTAATGACCTTAATTCTATCTGCGACGTTCATTCTTTTTGTCGTGTAAACTAGCATAGTCATAGGTTCCAGGAGTAGTAGGAGGACATCTTTGGGGGCCGCTGTTCTATTGGGACTGCAGTGGTTAAACACTCGGGATACTCAAAAGGCCAACAATTCGAACCCACCAATGACTCTATGGAAGCCAGATGAGGCCATCTACTTACCGGAAGACGACAGTTTGGAAACCGTCGGGTCCAGTTCTGCTCTCTCCTCCATGGTCACTGCCAGCTGGGATTGACTCAGTGCCAATGGGTTTTTAGTCTGTCACAGAAGCTTAAAGGGAATCTTCTTGAGAAGCCTTTCTCCCCCATGGAGTGAGATGGCGAATGGTTTTGCTTGACCCAAAGAGAGAAAACACATCACATTTATTTTGCTTCTCATGGTTTCTGATTGTTTGCTATGCAAAACCGGCATGGCCTTTCCTTTTTCTGAAATCTACATCAAGCTCAGAACTCCAATTGGAATTAAGATGCAGCTTAGTGTCAACACAGACTATTTCCCACCGATATTTACAGAGGACTTCGCAGTCAAGAGGAGAACACCGTGGCTGAAGTACTTAGCTGCTAATTGAAAGACAGGAGGTTCAAACTCACCATCCACTCTGCAGGAGGAAATGCGGCAGTCTGCTTCGGTAAACATCCACTGCCTCGGAATCCCTTTGGAGCAGTTCTAGTCGGTCTTAGAGGAATGAGTCGGAATTGCCTTGATGACCGTGGGTCTGGTCTGGTTTGGTTTGCAGTCTGTCTATAAAGCATCTTTGTAGATATTTGATTGAACTCGCAGAATAGCTCTTGGTGGTAGATTGTTGTTGTTAAGTGTTGTCAAGTCAGTTTCAACCCACAGCGACCCTCTATAGGGTTCTCGAGGGGCGGTTGGTGAGTTTGAACCACCGATCTTGTGGTTCAAACTGACCTCGAGGTGGAGTGCTTATCTTACAGCACCACACCAGGTTTACATGTGAATTAGGTAATCTTATCCAATTCACATGTAAAGAGGTTAAGGCTCTGATTTAATAGTGTATCACATCTGGGGTACCCGGAGTAGGGCTGGCTCGCAGCAGAGACTCAATTCATCTAGCCAATTCTCAGGGGGCCAGTAACCCCAGGTCCTGTGGAATCAGCACACACCATTACCCACCTCACCAGAGCTGTCCAGCCCAGAAGAACATGTGTCAGAGACAGGAGAATGGATTTTTTCTGGCTAGGTGGGTGACATAGGACCACAGAGATGGGGTGTTCTGAACACCCACAGCTGTGGTCTCAGACTTTAATGGGGAGCCTTTTTGTCATTGCTAAAGTCCAAATTAGTAAGTGTGTATGTAGGGGAAGGGTGGGAGTCAGGAGACTGTTTTTATAGCCACCCCAGGTGGTGCTGATGTGGGGGCCCTGGGAGCCTTTGGAGACCTCTGGAACATGGAGTTCCGATGTGGAGTCCCAGGAGATGAAGAGGGCCAGACTTGTAGAAGCTGTGTGCGCTCTGTACCTATGAGCAAGTCCTTTCTCCTCACAGGGCCTCAGGTTTCCCTTGTTAAAGGAAAAGCACAAATCTAATCTCAATGCTCCTTCTGGGTGCGGCCATCCTGGAAATTAGATGGTTAGTGCCTATTGGCCTGGCTGGGAGAGAGGGCGGGCGACTTAGTCAGAGCTTGACAGTCTCACCTGAATAGGGAAAACTGTCTTAGGTGTCAGCTGGTGGGGGGCTGTGGAGGTCAAAGGCCAGACTCAGAACCTAGGTAAAGAGGACTGCAGAGATAGTGGGAACAGTGACTCTGGGTTAAAGGTTTTGCCCAAGATGCACTTGCTTGCATCTTGAATAGGAGCCAGCAAGCTATTTCTATAAAAGGTCACATAACGAAGATTTTAGTCTTTGCCAGTCTCTTTCTTCACTGTTACTCCAAAGCTTGGGTCCTATGCCCTGGAGCTAGTAAGTCCAGTTAACAGACACTCCAGATAAAGAAAAAGAAAATCCTTTGTTATTATTGGGGGGTCCTCACTGGGACACCCACAGTGGAGGCATTTTTGGTATTTGAGCGACACTTTATTACAATCATGATACTTCTTTTTTAAGATCCACCATGAATTACATGCAAACGGGGCCACAATTCTAACATTTGCACAGCATCACAAGGACGGCATGAAGCCCCAGTAAACTTTGCAAGGAGGGCAGGATGAATGATCTCAGTGCCTTTTTGTCCCAAGGGTCACTCCTTATCAGAACAGGGACCAGGCTCCAGGCTCCAGGCAGAGCCAGGTAATTATGAACATTCCAACTTAAAATAGTCAAAACATACACTTAAGAAACAAGGAAACAAGGACAAGTAGGGGATGTAGAAAAGATGCTCTTAGGCAGTGCTTGCTTATGTTTACTCTTATTGTCGTTAAGTGCCGTTGAGTCAGCTCTGACTCATAGCAACTCTATCTAGGGTTTCCAAAGAGTGGTTGATGGGTTTGAACTGACCTTGGGGTTAGTCATCAAGGACTGATCCTACAGCACCATAGTTATGATCTCACAATGGCTACACTTAGGGTCCCATTATGACTGAACTCACCCAATGTAGGGAGAAAACCATGGCTATGTTCCAACAAAACATGAATTATCAAAACAAACAATGGATTGAACTTGGTCAGCCCTCACTCTAGAGAAATATGCTTTCTGGTTTTCAACTCCTGCAGAATTTCGAAGAATCGAAATCACACCATTCAATCCTACCCACTTACTCCTCCAAATGTTTAGAAAGATACAGAATGGAATTCACAGAAGTTATCACTAAAGACGTGGATTCCCCTGCTATCAATGATAATACCCATCCTTCATTGAGTTTCCGGTATGTGCTAGTCTGACTAGCAGTACTCTGGTCCAAAGCCAGGTATTTATCAAATATGATGGAACAGGGAACCAAGGCCCAAGTTAATAGTGTTAAGAGCTGTTCTTTGAAGTCAGAAGGACCTGGGCTTGAACTCTGGTTTCAACACTTTCAAGTTGTGGAATCTTGGGAGAATTATCTTCATTATGCATGATCTGAAAAATTATGCCCAGTACCCCACCGACATCTTATAGACACCCAGTGGGCAGTTGTGTTATTGATTGGCAGTTCTGAGACTTAAATTCCAATTGGTCTGTCTCTGGATTCTTTGTTCTGTCCTCTGTATCACACATTTCCCTTCTCAATCACGGGATCCTCAGGGCAGTGAGACCCTTGGGTTTTTGAATCCATGCATCTTGGCTCTTTCCCCTCTAAAAGGCAGTCACATCTAGAACACAGCTGTGAGATTACAAGCAGAACCTTGTCCTGGGAAGATAAAGCAGGGTTTCTGTATATGGCCTCTCTAAGGGGCTCATCTGCATGCTTACCATGGAGGGCTTGACCTATGGAAACAGCGAGAATGTCCATGTCATGTGACTCGTGGTGGTGTGGAGTCCTCATCCAGGGAATTGGACACTGCAGGGCGAAGGGGGCCTTGCTTGGAGCTCAGTGGGGGTCAGTTGTATCCACCCTCTAGTCTCTAGGCCACCCATTTGGCCTCCCCTTGGGATTACCTTCAGTTGGATTGGTCCATTTGGTAGAGTCTTGCAGAAATTGCCAGAATTTTCCATTTTCCATTCTGTACTCTGTTACCAGTCACTGATTCATTACAATTTCCTGTAATAAGGGTAGTTCTCGGTTGTTTTTTAACCCCCAAAGTAATGTCATATCTTGTTTCCTCCCTCCCTCCCTTCCTTCCTTCCACCCAGCTATCTACCCATCCACTCATTCACCCATCCATATTTCCATCCATTTTTCCAAGGCTTCAAAAGACAGTTTGGTGCCACACATCCTTAAGAAAAGAAATTCCAGAGTCCCTACTTTCAAGGAGCACACAATCTGGGTGGGAGCCAAGTTAATAGACAGCTACAGGGTCATATGCAAAGAGCTTTGATTTCCTAATCAGAGAAGGCTTGCTGGATGATATAGACTGGCATGAAATCTCGAAGGATGACTAGGAATCGCTGCTCAAACAGGTGAAGTGGTGTGGGGATAGTGGTGGGGTGTGTTGGATGTGTGTGCTTGTCCATCCTGGGGTGCTGAAGTGATGAAGGAGGCTAGTGGAGAAGTAGATGTGAAGAAGTGTGGTTTGGTGGGTCAGAGTGTGTGGTTTACAAGACCAGGGAGTGGGCTGTGCAGGGGAGGTGGCAGGAGGTGGGACCAGGGAAGAAGGTGTGGACCAGAGCAGGAGAGACCTGGGGTGAGAAACTTAGACTGGTGAGGGGAACCATGGAGCAATTTGGAGTTAGTGAGGGACAGAGCCAAGTGTGGGGTGGAGTGAAGCCCAGGCAGAAAGACCATGCTTATTCATAGACATTTTTCTTCAGTAGAAACCTGACTTGTAGTGTTGGGGAGGATATGGGGACAAGGTTGGTAGGAGCGTAGCATAACCAAAGCTTTGTGAAATATGCTAACTCAAGTATACCCAACTGTCCCACTTTACATAAGAGGAAATTGAGTCAAAAAGGTTTTCCAATGATCTTGATGGAGTGCTTTTATTAAAGGATGAGCAGTCGGCTGCTCTAACAGTCTCCACTGTCACTGAGAGGCTCCACCAGTTGAGGGAAGGATGATGCTAATTGAGCCCCAGTCTCAGTCTGAGTTATAAAAATGTTCTTTTGTGGGGGAAATCTCTTGACGTCAGAGATGTAAGGAAATGGTGGGAGGAAAGAGGATGCATGTTCCTTGAGCACAGGTAAGGGGCTCTCAAACTGATGGGCTTCCTACAAATGCTAGTTCCCTGCTCTCTTATTTCTACTCCTTCATGGGCAACCTGGGTTTGGGGGATAGGACATCTCAGGCCAGTAAAAAGATTAGCTGTCATTTAGCCATGTCTTTGAGGACCACGTTCTTGAATACATAATAAGAACTTTGTTGAAATGCCAGAGATGATCATCAACAGCCTGACTCATAAAAGTAACGAAACTTCCCTCACTGAGGGAGGATAGTCATTGCTTGAGGTAGACCAAAAAAATATCTTGTTCCGTTTCCAAGACGTGGCTTCAGTTTCTGATTTAGTCAGGAACACCAAGCATGTACCCAGACTACAGACAGTAGTTAAGACACCAAAGTTGGCTCAATCTCCATACCTCCCACATGCTTATGCTTTCTTCGTTGCTTACGGAAGGCAGCTTGGAATGGTGGGTGGAGCAAGGGTTTTGGTTAGAAGAGGTTGGGATTCAGTGCCCACTTCTATTGCCTCACAGCCTATGGTAACTTGACCTTGAGTCTCTGTCTCCTCAAGTTAAAATGGGAAGCTGGAAGAAGATCTCTTTCTCATTGGAGGAAACCACACATTCAAGACACCCAGTGCTGTGCTCTGGCATACTCTGTAATTTTACTCTCCAGCTTCCCTTTGCATAAAAAACACACCACAAAGTCATGCATGAATGTCTTGATGCTCAGTTTTCTCTTCTGTGAAATGGGGATAAGATATTAACATGTAGAAGTATGTGTTCCTCTAGATAGAGTGCCAGGCACACAGTCAGAGCTCCCTAAAACAGTTCAGATCAGAGCTTCCGACCTTCATTGGGTAACAAATCACTTCTGGAAGAAAGAGCCTTCTTCCCCACCCTTCTTTCTGAACCATCAGAGCCACGGTGGCCAAGTTCATGTACTTTCCTGTTACAGAGCTCCTCAAACCCTCACTTAGAAGCTTTAGGACACGAACACATCCTTCAAAGCTGAATTGTGGGTTTCCCAGCCAAAAATCCAATGACCCATATCCATGGTGAACCCCATATGTGTCAGAGGGGAACTGAGCTCCATAGGGTTTGGCCGGTTTTCCAGAAAGAGGTTGTCTTCTGAAGCACCTCTGGATGGACTTGAACCCCCAACCTTTCAGTTAGCAGCTGAATCCATTAACTGTTTGCACCATCCAGGGTCTCCAGTGTCATGTTGTTGCTGTGAAGTGCTGTTAAGTCGGTTCTGACTCATAACAACACTGCATAAGACTTCTGAGGAGCAGCTGGTGGGTTTGAACTTCTGATTTTGTAGTTAGAAGTCCAATGCCGATCCCACAGTGCCACACCAGGACTCCAGTTGGAGGACACAAATTAGAAGGGGTTGGGAGGGTCAGGAAGCATTAAGAGTTCATAAACTCCTGGAATTCCAGGAAGGAACTGGGGGAGATCAGCAAGGCAGGCGCCCCGGGCACAGAATATAACGAGACTCTCCTCCACGTCGCCACTTGTCTCACCAGGACCCCTAGCCTGAGAAGCACTTCTAATGACTAAGAGGGAGAGAGACTATGTGAGTCAAATGAGACGTTGCTGAATTAGTGAAATTGTCCCACCTGGAAGCAGCCATATTTTGAACAGAGTGAAGGATTTAGGTTGGCTACACAGAAGGACTTCCTCAGGTTCCTAAATTCCTGTGTGTTGAGAACATGCATGAAGCAGGCAGTAAGATATGCGCTTTAAGCATATGATCTACTACTCCAATGAGATTCTCTTATTAACCCCATTCTTCAGATGAGGAAATGGAGTCTCAGAAAGTCCAACCATACCCGTGGAGTGATGAGTGGGACTTGACCAAATCTATCCAATCCCAAAGCTCACACCCTCCCCGCGGTACACCATACCATGCCCTTTGGGAAGAGTTCCCATGGAGACTTCTAGATGGACCCACATCTTTCAGGTTGTTTGCCAATTTCACCTGAAGTCATTCTTCCCCTGGGCTACTAAGCTCTTACTACCCTAAGTTTCTTCTTTCCAGTCCTTGAGTATTTCAGATTCATTGCGTCTTCACTGTTTTTGTGCATGCTGTTCTCTGAGTCTGGACTTTTCCTCCCTAGATCTTTGCTTGGCTCACTCCTCATCATGCAAGTCTCACCTCCTCAGAGGCTCCCTTCCCTCCTTCACATACCTTCTCTTCCCTGCCACAACACCTGTTTGATTTCCCTCCATATCTGGAATCCCTGGATAACACCCTGTCCCCTACTAGCCAGTCCTGGGAAGCAGAAACCTTGCTGGCCTTCTCAGTTCCACCCCCGGCTCTTGGAGCCTGACACATAACAGACATTTGGGAAATGAATGAACTCTTGAACTGAGTTTAGGATTTCACCTTCCCTGTGTCTTCTGTGGTCTAACTGTAAAACAAGTGACTTGTTCTTTAACATCATTTGTTTGTTTTCCAGTTCAGTGTCCTGAAGGAAGCTACTTTCTGGATGAGCAATGTGTTCCCTGCCCCGTTGGATTCTATCAAGAACAAGCAGGCCGCTCTACCTGTATCCCTTGTCCTGTGGGCAGAAGAACCATGTCAACAGGAGCTTTCAGTCCAACTCACTGTAAGTTCTGCAGCAACCTGCTGCTAAAGAGGAACGCTGCAGTGTGGGGGACCCAGCAACTGGTGATATTTTGGGTCAGAGTGTTCCTGGTGTGGCACTTTGGGTTAAGGCACTGGACTGCAAAGTCAGTTTGATGTACAAGGTCAAGCTCACTCCTTGGAAACCCTATACAGGGTTGCTGTGGGTTGGAACTGACTTGATGGCACTTAACAACAACAACAACAAAAGTTCCTTGCTGAGGGAGAGGGCTGTCTGCTGCCTTGTAGGAGGTTAGCAGCATCTCTGGTCTCTCTACCTATTAGATGCAAGTAACACTCCTCAGACTTCTGACAACTAAAAATATCTTCAGTCATCACCAAATGTCCCCTGGGGGCAAAGAGTAATCATGAATTGGAACCAACATGCTGGAAACATATTTGATTTCGGTTTTGTTTGAGAACTACTTGAGTTCAACTGGCAAAGGAACCACCGTGTTTGAATACCTACTTGCTGGAAGGTTCTTTTTTCTTTTCCCCAACATTTTATTTTGAATTGAGTGAAGGTTTACTAACATGTTCATCGGTTTTATATTCAACAAATTATACATCTTGTTTCATCTCAATGATTGCAGTCCCCTCCATGGAACAACAGGAATCCCACTTCCTCCCTGCGGCTCCTGTTTCCCTTCCGCTCACCTTCCCATCCCTTCTCACCTTTATCCTTAGGTACATGCTGCCCCTTTGATTTGAGTGATTGACCATTCCATCATTCACAGTGAGCATACCTCATTACCACCACTTGTAGGTCATATGTCGTACTGTGGTGACTTGCGTGTTGCTATGATTCTGGAAGCTGTGCCACAAGTATTTTAAATACCAGCAGGGTCACCCACGGTGGACAGGTTTCAGCTGAGCTTCCAGAAGAAGACAGACTAGGAAGAAGGCGAGACAGACTACTTCCAGATATTTAGTCACTGAAAACCCAAGACGTGGTTGTTCGAACAGAACAAGGGAACCCTAATGGTTGTAAATTAGGAAAGGTGTGTGCCAGGGTCATATTCTTTCACCATACTTATTCAATCTGTATGCTGAGCAAATAATCTGAAAAGCTGGATTATATGAAGAAAAATGTGGCATCAGCATTGAAGGAAGACTCATTAACAACCTGCAATATGCAGATTATACAACCTTGCTTACTGAAAGTGAAGAGGACTTAAAATACTTACTGATGAAGATCAAAGACCATAGCCTTTAGTATGGGCTGCATCTCAGTGTAAAGAAAACAAAAATCCTTACCACTGGACCAGTAAACAACATCCATATAAATGGAGAGAAGATTGAAGTCGTCAAAGACTTCATTTTGCTTGGATCAATCATCAGCACTCAAGGAAGCAGCAGTCAAGAAATCAAATGACATATTACATTAGGAAATCCACTGCACAAGACCTCTTTAAAATGTTCAAGAGCAAAGATGTCAGTTTGAGGACTAAGGTGAGCCTGACCCAAGCCATGTTTTCAATCATCTTATATGTACATGAAAGTTGGACGGTGAATAGAAAGGCCATAGAAGAATTGATGCATTTGACTTATGGTGTTGGGGGAGAATATTAACAGTACCATGGGCTGCCAAAAGAACAAACATCTGTGTTGGAAGCAATACAGCCACAGTGCACTTGGGAAGTCAGTATGGCCAGACTTCATCTCTCATACTTTGGACATAGTGTCAGGAGTGACCAGTCCCTGGAGAAGGATATTGTGCTTGGTAAAGTGGAGGGTTGGAGAGAAAAAAGGAAGACCTCCAACAGATGGATTGGCACAGTGCCAGCAACAATAGGCTTAAATGTAGTAGCATCAATTGCAAGGTTGGTGCAAAACTGGGCAGTTTTTCTTTCTGTTGTGAAAGGGTTGCTATGAATAGGTATCAGCTCGATGGCACCTAATAACAACAGATAGTATCTTACTAATGTTGTTCTCTGTATATACCCTATGTACTGTCTGGCTGAAAGAGGGTGTGTTCCTTTCCATATCTGAAGAGTAGTTGAGGGTCACAGTCTCAGGTTCCTCCTTTTTCTTTCTGACCAGTAAGTCTGGTCATTTTCTTTTAAATTATTTTGAGTTTAGTTCCCCACATTATGCTGCTCTATCCGGGACCTTCTAGTATGATCCGTTTCAAAGCAGTTGGTAGTGATAGCTGGCCAATATCTAGTTCTTCTGGCTTAGGAGTCTTGCTGCCAGCTTGTTGTTGTTGTTGTTATGTGCTGGGGAGTCAGTTCCGACTCATAGCAACCCTGCATAGAGTTTCCGAGGCTGTAAACATTTACTGGAGCAGAAAGCCTCATCTTTCTCCCATGGAACAGCTGGTAGTTTCGAACTGCTGACTTTGCGGCTCACAACCCGATTCATAACCACTACGCTACCAGAGCTCCATATTTTGCCAGTGTTGTCACACTCAATCTTCCCAGGTCTCCTTCCAGGTAAATGTTAGGACACTTCCTTCCACAGAGAAGTAATGCTATTTAACCACAATCACTCAGTTAGAGGAATTGGCCTCTGCTCTTGGTTTTAGCTGATTCTGAAACTTACGATGCCGTGTAAGTTATGCTTATCAGATGGACGAGTGCCGGGTTCTTTCCACATGCAGTCGGAGTTCTTTGTCATCATCCTCCTTTCCAGGCTTGGTGTTTTGCCTTCTGGGCTGTCATGTGACCTCACTTGACCTGATTTGTTAGTTAGGTGGGTGTCGTTGCTTTTTCCTAGCAAGCTTCCATAATGCAATGTTTCACAGCTTTTCATGTCAAACTGAAATCATCCCAGCAGCAAGCAAACCGCCATTGGTTAAGGTCTGAATAATTTCTAGAATTAAAAAAATAATCTAAGGATACTAAGACACCTTCTTTGGTAAGGGCAGTCTCTTTGGTCAGGAGTGCCCAAACTGCTGCCATCGAGTTGATTCCGATCCACTGGGGCCTCATGTGACCAAGTAGAACTGTCCCCTAGGGTTGCTCAGGTTTCTTGCCAGAGCTTTCTCCCTTGAAGTGGCTGGGGGGATTGGGGGAGCTTTGAACTGCTGACTTTTCAGTTAGCAGCTGAGCATTTAAGCACAGTGTCACCAGGGCCCTGGCCAGGTCAGGAGGACAGAGGGAAGTCTGACTTCTCTCCTGGAGAAGAAGTTCTGCTCAAGAGTAGGGTGCCCTTAGTGTTTGGATGTCACCCTCAGTTTGAAGACACCGGTTCTGGCCTTAGGACTAGAAATGACTCCAAGTGCTATCAGCTCTGAGAGACATGCATTCTTAAGAAAGCAATGCCAAATACCCATCCTTGTTTATGGAGACGGGTGTGTGTGGGGCTTGGTGGTTTGAACCTACCAGCAGCTGTGAGAGACACAGGTGTGGCAGTCTGCTTCTGTAAAGATTTACAGATTTGGTGACACTATGGAACCGTTCTACGTTGTCATATGGGGTCACCATGACTCAGAATCAACTCAAAGGCAACAGGTTTGCTTGTTAACTGAATATTTCTTTTTCTACCTCGTTATTGATGTATTAATTCATATATCTCAATCATGGCATGGAAAGAATTCTATTTTAAAAATACCTTTTTGTTACTCCCTACCACACAAATAGCTGTCAGTATTAATCAATCACATAACTGATAAGTCTTAAAATGTAGAAATGAGATGTTCTCAAGTTTCTGCTAGAAAAGACTGATTTCCACCTCATTCCCAACCCTGGAAGACCAAATCAGGATACTTTCCTTTGATACCACTCATCAAAGGTGTATTTAGCACCTGCTTGGTGCCAAGTCCTGAGCATATAAAAACACAGAAAGATAAATTGCTTGCCTTCAAGTTGCATAGAGTCTGGTAGGAGAGGAAGTCGCAATTGTAAACATTTTGGCGTAGTTCACAGTCCTGGGGGATGGGGAGGGAGCTACATGCTAACTGCTGTATTGCATCTTGTCTTAGGTCTGGAGGGTGAGTGTGGGTTTGCCAGGAGTTAGGAGGAGAAGTGACTTTCAGGAAGAGGAAATAGCTAAGCCCAGAAATAAAGATAAATATTTGTATATCTTACTTAGTTGAATAACTAATGTCATTGAGTTATTAGAGTTCCTACTCCTGGCGTGGCACTGTGGGTGAATGCGCTGGACTGCAAGGTTGGTTTGAATCACAAGGTTGGTGGTTCAAGCTCACCAGCTGCTTCTCAGAAACCCTATACAGGGTCGCTATGGATCGGAACTGACTCAGTGGCACTTAACAACAACTATAGGTTAAGGATCACTGGTATTGTGGTGGGCTAAGCTCTGCTCACTGCAAGGTTGGCAGTTTGAATCCACCAGTTGCTCCTTGGGAGGTAGATGAGGCAGTTTGCTTCTGTAAAGATTTATAGCCTCAGAGATACTGCTTTGTGCTGTAGGGTCGCTATGCGTTGGCATCGACTCGATAGCAGTGAGACTGTGCGTCAGGCACTGGGATACAATGATGAACACACCAGGCCTGGTTTCAGGGAGCTTACTCTCTAATGGGAAAACAGCCATTCATCAACAGTCAAGGAGGCCCATGCTCCCTGCTCTGAAGGAGAAGTGTGAGCTGCTGGAAGTGTGAAGAGCTATTGGATGGGACTTGGCTTCCCCTGAGGATATGAGGGTTGAGCTGAGAGCTGAAGAGCAGTGGGGAGTTAACCCAGAGAGGGCTAGGGAGGACGAGGCCCCAGGGAGCAGGTGGAGTCAAGCCTGTGTTTGAGTTCTGGGCAGGGTGCTGGAAGCAGCTGACTGTGTCTGAGCACATGGTGGATGGAAGCAGGTCACAGGACGTTACAGGGCATGGGACTGTAGCTAGGGTGCGGCTTTCAGTTATCATGTGCGCTAAATAGACTAGCAGCCCTGGTGGCTCTGGATCGTTAAATACAAGGTTTGCAGTTCAAACCCACCAGCCACTCTGTGAGAGAAAGATGAGGCTTTCTGTTTCCATGAGATTGACAACCTCGGAAACCCTGCACAGAGTCACAATGAGTCAGAATTGACTCCACGGCAGTGAGTTTGGGCATAAATGGGCTAAGGTCTGGGAGCTGGGAGGGGAGGGAATCTCTGAGGCACATTGCTAATTGCTGTGTGTGTCCATGTCCTGCTTCCAGGTGTCACTGACTGTCAGAGGAATGAGACGGGCCTGCAGTGTGACGAGGATGGACAGTACCTGGCGCGCCAGACAGACAGGGGCACCGGGGCCACCTTCTGCGTGGACGGAAAGGGGCGGAGGCTGCCTGGGTCAGAGACAGCGGCCTCACTCACGGAGTCTCAGTGCCTGAGTATGTGCTTGTGGTGTCCATCACCTGGGAGTGGGCTTGGGTGGATGGGCTTGCAGAGAGGAGAGGGGACATGGTACATTTGTCAGCAACGCTTTCTTCTGAAACAAGTTGAATGTACATAAACGTTTCATAGAAGATTCCAATGAGCTCTTTGCTAGAGATGGGAATGATTGTTCAGAATAATCTCATTTGGATTTCCTCATATGCTTTAGGTCATTAGGTGTACTCTGTTCCCTACAGGACAGACAGACAACATGTGTGAGTGAGTATGTGTGTGTGTGCAGGCCTGTGTGTGTACAGTAAGGACACAGCCCACTGAAGAACGGTGTCTGGCACAAAATGGAGCTCCATGAATCACTGTTGAGTGTTCAGAAGGACGATGACACACATAGTATCTCAGGAGACAAGCATGGGGCTGGGGAGGGGAGGAGGAAGCTGATGATCAGCTGATGGTCCACAGGCGGTTAACAATTTGCATGTTCTCTCTTCTCTACTTTCTGACCACTGGAAAGTCCATTTCCTGAGAACCTCACCCTTAGGTAGTTCAGCCTGCACAAGAGATGGACTGAAAACATCACAATCTACTGAGAGTTCCATTGTGTTGACCACTTGCTTCCATAGAACAGGATGACATTTTGGCCCCAAAGGCTGTTAGGGAAAGATTTGGGTGCCTATCCTGGTTCCACCACTGACTCACTGGGTGACCCAGAGCAAGGCACTCAACCTTTCTGATCATCAGCTTCCTCCTCCCCTCCCCAGCTCCATGCTTGTCTCCTGAGATACTGTGTGTGTCATCGTCCTTCTGAAAAGTCAACAGTGATTCATGGACCACCATTTTGTGTCAGACACCATCCTTCAGTGGGCTGTGTCCTTACCGTCCACACGCAGGCCTGCACACACACGCATACTCACTCACACGTGTTGTCTGCCTGTCCTCTAGGGAAGAGGGTACAGCTAATAACCTAAAGCATATGAGGAAATCCAAATGAGATTATTCTGAACAATCATTCCCATTTCTAGCAAAGAGCCAACATAGTTCAAGGATTTTTGTGTATGTATGCCTCCAGGGATAAATCACAAATGTGATGAAAACTTTAATATTATTTCCAATATGCTTGCTCTCGGGCAGAAATACCAATCAGAGGATTTAGACCCAGTAGACACTTTCAGAGATTAATGGGCAGATTCTTGCCATCCTTCCCAAATGAAATGATTTGCCTGTGGCCCCAGGTGACGGTGATGGTGATTGTTATCTAAAGGCTTGTCAGTCGGGGACAGTGAGGACTGTAATAGGCATGCTGTAAAGCTTTTCATGATTTCTTCTGGCCCGGGTCCACCTGGAGCAGAAAGGCAGCTTATCAGCAGCACCAGAAACACTTATGAGTAACAGCCTGGCTCTGGCAACTCTGACAGTGCCTCCCCGAGGAGCGGGTTGCTGAATAGCTTCCACGCTGATCCTCGGTGTCTCTCACACGGCTTCCAGTGCAAAGCTCCAAGCTGTGGTTTCCTTTTCTGGAGATGCAGGGGGCTTTTGTGTTATGAATCTGGGTCCTGACAGGAGGCCATCATACTCTTTCTTCTCAGAATTCTCTCCACCTCCCTCGGAAAGGACTTTTCTCTTCAGGAATGAGATTGCATCTAATTTCTGAGATGATTATCCTCCAGAAAACCCAAAGCGCTTAGAGATGGGTTATAGAAGTCCCCAAGAGAATCTCCCCCTAGTTCACCCAACGATTCTCCTTGCCTAGACCTCTGTGGTCACCCACCTGGTTTGCTGCCTTAGTCTGTCAACTCATCTTCCTGCTCTGTGGCGCCCCCTGCAGCCACTTCTCTGCACTGCTGTCAGTATTCTTTCTACAAGGCAAATATCCTACAGTGCAGTTCCCTCTCTGCATTGGATCCTCAACAATGCTTCAGTGGTTCTGTATTGCTCTTCAGATAAAGCACTATCATAATACCCAGGCCACCTTCAGCCCCATTAGACCCTGCAGTCTTTTAGGGCTAGGACTATGCATGTGTGTACCAGTTTCTGCTTTCAGTTCCTTGGAGGATATACCTAGGAGTGGAATTGCTGGGCCATATCTGGGAGCACAGTGGGTCTATAGGATAAGCACTGGACTGCTAACACAAGATTAGCGGTTTGAGCCCACTAGCCACTCCAAGGGAGAGATGAGATTTTGTGTTTCACAAAGATTTACAGCCTCGGAAACCCGAGACAAGTTTGCTATGAGTTGGGACTGACTTGATAGAACCTAACAGCTACAGCAAATGTTGATTCTATGTTTAACTTTTTAAAGAACCACCGAACTTTTCACAGCAGATAATACCATTTTACAGTCCCACCAGCAATATACAAGCGTTATAATTTCTCGACCTTGCCAATGCTAACTAATTTCTGGTTTCTGATATATACAAAAGACTCCTGATGCGATGCTGTAGGATCAGCACTGGCCTGCAAACCATAAGGTCGGCAGTTCAATCCCACTAGCTGCTCCTTGGAATCAGAACCAAGTCAACAGCACTTACCAACAATAACAATATGTACAAACCCCCCCCCCACCCCCAAAACCAAACCCATGATCAGTGAGTCAATTCTAACTCATAGTGACCCTATATAAGGTTTCCAAGACTGTAAATCTTTATGGGAGCAGAATGCATCATCTTTCTGCTTCAGAGCAACTGGTGGATTTGAACTACTGTTCTTGCAGTAATCAGTCCAGTTCTTATACTACAGTACCTCAAAAAATTGGTGAAAAAATTCCATTATCTTTTAATTCCATTCTTCCATTAACTTTCCCAGCCCTCTTGTAAATATACATGTATAAAATATATGTCTTTGTATAGGCATACACATATAAAACATGCCGGTGTTATGAGCTGTCCAGTTGGTTCCAACCATAGCAACCCTGTATGGGGTTTCTGAGGGGCAGCTGGTGAGTTTGAACTGCTGATGTTGAGATTCAAACCAGCTTTGTGGTTGAGTTCTTACCCTATGCCTCCACACCAGGGCTCCCATGTACCATATGTATTTATAAATATATGTGTATGGCAAATGGCCAACCTAGTGAGGGGGATGGGGCCAATCGCTGAGAAGTGACTGCTGACCCCGCCCTCTTGACTTCTCTGCAGATGGTCTGCTGTCTTCTGAGTGAGATTTCACCTGTCTACTTTCTTTTCAGTGATGCGGACCTTTGAGAAGGTTCCAGAATCCAAGGTGATCTTCAGTAGTGACGCTCCAGTGATGATCAGGTCCAGAGTCCCTGGTTCTAAGTCCCCACTGATGCAGTGTTTGGCAGGTAAGGGGCTGCTCCTCCTCCCCAGGGAGAGGGGAGGTGGGCACAAAGCACAGGGAGAGAGTAAAGTAGGCTTTGCTGATCTAGAAGAGCAAATCGAACTCATTAAAACTATAATGCGAAACATACTTTGTCAAAACAACTTGTAAATCAATTAATTTTGACAAGTATGTTGTTTAGTGCCTTCAACTTGGTTCCAACTCAGCGACCATGTATAGGGTTTCTAAGGCTGTAAATCTTTGCTGGAGCAGAAAGTCTCATCTTTCTACTATTTCACATGTATATTCAATTCATAATTTTATTTCCATTTTTAATACATCTACTATAATGTTGGAGTCTTAATGTGGCACTGTGTGATAATGCACTGGACTGCAAGGTCGGAGGTTCAAACTCACCAGCTGCCACTCCTTGGAAACCCTATACAGAGTTGCTATGAGTCAAAACTGACTTGACCACACTTAACAACAACAACAACTATAGCATTTGGGAAGCACTGTGGTTCCATATGATAAGATCTGGACTATGAACCAGAAGATCCACAGTTCGAGCCTACCAGCCGCTCCACAGGAGAAAGATGAGGCTTTCTGCTCCCTTGAAGATTTAACACCTTGGAAACCCTATACAGGGTTGCTATGAGTTGGAACCAACTCCACGGCACTTAATAGCAATAGACTTGGAATCCTTATGTGGCATTGTAAGATAAACACTGAATAGCTAGTCACAAGGTTGGCAGTTCAAACTCACCATTTGCTCTTTGGAAACTCTATGCAGGGTTGCTATGAGTTGGAATTGACTTGGCAGCACTTAAGAGCAGCAACAGGTATAGGGTTACTATGAGTCAGAATTGACATAATGTTACCAACTATATCCTGAATAACTGTGCTACATGGTTGTTGTTGTTAAGTGCTGTTGAGTCATTTCTAACCCATAGTGACTCTGTATAGGGTTTCCAAGGAGCAGCTGGTGAGCTTGAACCACCAACCTTGTAGTTCAAACCAACCTTACAGGCCAGCGCATTAGCTCACAGCGCCACTCCAGGACTCCATGCTACATGATAGCAAGCAGAAATGAGTAGGCCTGACTGTCCAGTGCATAGGTGTTGTTGTGAAGTGCCACCTTCACAACAGAAGCCAGTACTGACTCACATTGCATAGATGGTGTTGTGAAGTACCACCTTCACAACAAAAGCCGGTACTGACTCACAGTGACCCTACACAGAGTTTCTGAGGAGTTTCTGGTGGGTTTGACTGCTGACCTTGTGGTCTGCAGTCCAGTCCTGATCCTACAACATTTGTCCAGGGTGGGAGATATATATGTCTGTTTCAGTAGTGAGTTCAGTGAAAGGATAGTCACACTACCATTTATTGCGCATGCAAATTTACAAAGATTTTCTCATAATCCTACAATGAAATTGTCATTGTTATCCCACGTCACTGCTGAGGAGAAATATGGCTTTTTGAGTGTAATGACTTCCATAGTGACACAGATTAAGCCAGTGTCAGAACTTCATTTCAGACCCAAGCTCAAGGATGCCAAAGCCCGTGAATCTCTGTGGTACACCTCCCTCAGTAATCACATGTGGTGTGCTTGCTAACTAATGCTCTGAGCCCGCATCTGTTTTGGATGTCTACATGGTTATGATGAACACAAGCTATTCTTTGTATCACCTAGTGCAAGGCATGAAGTAGGAGCTGAAAAAATGTGTGCAATAAATGATATTCATAGGAACTGGAAGTGAAAGACCAAAGTAAACAGAAAGGAAATGAGGACCCAACACCAAGAAATCAATCTTGATAAAGATCTCTGGAAGTACTTTGTCTTGGCAAAGACTATCGGACACATACTTACATAGCTACACACACATTGGCTATGTTGTGATGCCTTGAGTTAGATGGGAACACAAAGGATTGGGCACAAAAAGAGAACACTGAATCATAGGAATGAAGGAAGCAGGAAGGACAGGTCCATCTGTTAGTGTCATGATGGTCCAACTACCCAGGTTAAATTAAATCTCCATAGGATGAAGGCCAAGAGATCTGGACAGATGGTGTCCTCTTAGATGAAAGAGATCAGGGCGGTCTAGGGTATTTGTAGGTCCAGCAGGGACCCAAGTATTCCATATCTCACTGGTTTTATGGTCAGTAGAAGGGATATTCGAGAGGTAAAAATATAGAGCACATGACTCTGTAGGATAAGAACTGGACTCTGAACCACAAGGTCAGTGGTTCGAGTCTGCCAGCCACTGCGAGGGAGAAAGATGAGGCTTTCTGTTCATGAAAAGATTTTCAGCCCTGGAAACTCTATACAGGATAGCTCTGAATATGAAAAGACTCAACAGCACTTAACAACAACAACAATGAATACAGAGCCACTATTGCTACAGGAGGAGTCCTGGTGTGGTGCTGTGGGTTAGTGTGCTGGACTTCAAGGTCAGTTTGGACTGCAAGGTCAGCAGCTCAACCTCACCAGCCACTCCTCAGAAACCTTATACAGGGTTACTATGAGTCAGAACTGATTCAACGACTCCTAACAACAACAACAACAACAACAACAACAACAACAACAACAGCAACACAGCTATAGGAGGGTCAGTAGAAGAGTGGTTGAGAGTGCTTGGATGATAACCAAAGGTTGGTGGTTCGAACTACCAAGCCACTCCACAGAGAAAGATGTGACAGTCAGCTTCTATAAAGTTGGTAGCCTTGGAAGTCCTATGGGACAGTTCTGCTCTGTAGCGTTGTTGTGTGCCGTGGAGTCGATTCTGACTCATAGCGACCATAGTGTAGTGGTGATGAATCGGGCTGCCAACCTCAGGGTCAGCAGTTTGAAACTACCAGCAGTTCCATGGGAGAAAGAGAAGGCTTTCTGCTCTCGTATAGATTTAGAGCCTCGGAAACCCTGTTCAGGGTCGCTATGAGTCAGAACCAACTCTACGGCTCATAACCACCACTACCATGAGTCAGAATTAGCTTGTCAGCAAGGGTTTGGTTTATTTTGGCTGATGCCATGGGAGGTGGGATTGTTAATGGTGAGAGGAAGAGTAGACTGTCTAGAAAAGCATGAGGTGACGTTTGCTTATAAGCGGGAAGTCCTAGTTCTAGATCATTACCTCATCAACTTGAATTGAGGGTGCTCATCCTGTATGTGCTTTCTTGACTGGTTCTGTCCCAGAGCTGGAAGCTGGCATTTGCTGACAGTGACGGCTTTAGGTCTAAGAGCTAGGTGGGTCAAGAACAGTGATTTTTTTAGGGTTTCGAATGAGGCAGGCAGGTTGAAAAGAAGGACACCATTTATCTCCTGGAGCCTAATTCTTGAGGATCCAGGAGAAAAATGGAGGGGACCCCTAAGACCAACTTCACACCCGAAGTAGAAAGGCAGCTTGAGAGAGTCTTGTAGACAAAATACAGACATCTCAGTAACCAGACATGAGCTGCTTTCTCTTGCCCCTCAGCTAGCAAAGTGAGGAGAGCAGAGGAACTGAAGTTCAAGGGCATTTGAAGAACAGCTCAGCTACACCCAGCATGTGGCCTTGCCAAGGCTTAGTCTTACCTTCCTCATCTCTAAATGAACCTCTAAGGGTTAGTGCAAGAATCAGTATGAGTAACGTATGTGAAAGCACTTTGTCATTGTCATTGTAAAACTATAAGTCACTGTTTCTTCATTAATGTATGCTTTTTAGCAGAACCTCATATTCTTGCTAAATCATTAGTTATCTGTTATCTTTATTCAAGTGCATAACACAGGTAAACATTCTCGTCCTTTTGTATTACCTAGACTTCATTCACTCACTTATTACATTTGTAGAGCCTTCTATAGGCTGGCTTTTTCCCTGATGCCTGGAGTAACATTGTTAACAAAAGGAGAGTGATGACCTAGTCTCATTAAAGCTTAGGGGCCACTCTCATCAGGAGAGGTGTTCACTGTACAGAGCTGGGACTTGTGCTTTACTATGCCAGCGGTGTTTTTAAGAGCCATTGAGTCAGTTCCAGTGCATAGCACCTTATATAGGGTTTCCAAGGAGCAACTGGTGAGTTTATCCTGTAGTGCAAACCAACCTTATGGTCGAGTACTTATCCTACAGTGCCACTTCAGGACTCCTAATATATCATTGGAATTCCCAGTAGGGCATTAATCAGATCTTTAGCAGGAATGTATACCTGGTCTCCTCAAAGAATAGAAGTGACCAAAATACAAAACAAACAAACAAACAATTTAGTTTAGGAAGATACAACTTAGTAACTGAGCAGGTTCTAAAATCTAACAGCTAACCACTTACTAGCTTGGTGACCTTGAGTAAGTAACTGACATTGTCTAGGCTCAGTTTCCTCATCTATAAAGCAAGTGTTCATTGAGTGGATAGCAAAGTGCATAGCATGACATGGGGTGTGGTCCGCGCTCAGTCGCTAGCCTATGTGTATGTTTGGGATAGGTGCAGCAAGGACGGGTCAATCGAATAGGCTGGTGGTGACTGTCTCCGTGGTTCTTGCAGACTGTGCAGAGGATGAGGACTGCAGTTTCCTGGTCGTATCCACGGAGGGACAACAAATCTTGTGTGAATTCTATGCTGGGACAAATGACAGCATTGCCTGTCTGGCTTCTGACCAGGTCAGCCAGGGCGGTCACTGGAAGATCTGTCTTTTGCCTGTTTTCTGTCAGACATGCTCTAACTAGTTCAGCTGAAAGCAAATCAGATGAAAATGGATTCCCATAGGGAATCTCCTATGAATTCTCATGTCTGCAAAGCACCATGGCATTCCATGTCTTACTGGTTCCTCTTCCTAAAACCTCCTTCCCTTATTGCCCCCTGATGAACTCTTCCCCACATGTCAGACTCTCATGCAGGTTCACTCTGATAGCTGTTGCAATTCCATTGTCAATAGAATGGGTCTTTCTCTCCTCTGGAATGACATGCATCTTGCAGCTAACAAAGAGCCCTGATGGTGCCATGGGTTAAGCATTAGCCTGCTAACCGCAAGATTGGTGGTTCAAACCCACCAGCGACTCTGCTGGAGGAATAGATGAGGCTGATTGCTCCTGTAGAGATTTATAGTCTACTCTGAAGCAGTTCCGCTCTGCTCTGTACAAGCTCACCGTAAATTGGCATCAGTATTACAGCAGTAACTACATTTTATTGCTTGCACATTTGGGCTGTAATTTACTGATCACACACCTACTCCAATGTTGTTGTCAAGTGCTGTTGAGTAAGTTCAGACTCATAGTGACCCTGTACAGGGTTTCCAAGGAGCAGCTGGTAAATTTGAACTACTAACCTTGTGGTTCACAGTCCAGTACTGATCCCACAGAGCCACACCAGGAGTTGGTCTGCCCCAATGGTGGTGGTGTGCTTTGGAGTTAATTTCAACTCACAGCGACCCTGTATAGGGTTTCTAAGGCTGTAAATCTTTACAGGAGCAGAAAGTCCCACCTTTCTCCCATGAAACCGCTGGTAGTTTCAAACTGCTGACTGTGAGGTTAGCAGCTCACCCAGTAAGCATGATGCTACCAGAGCTGCTCAAATAGGCAAGGAGAGACTAATGAGCAGAGATCCCTTGTCCATCTTTGTAACTCTGTCTAGTCTAGTGCTTAGGGCATAGGATGAGTTTTGGGAATGTTTGTTGCATTGAACTGTTAAACATTACTGGGTGAAAATTCAGACTCTTTCCATCTTCAGGAGGAAAACACCTTGGGAAACGCAATGACCACCAGCTTCAAGAGTCTCAGGTGCCAGGTGAAAGTGAGGCACCGGGTCCAAGACTTTCTAGCTGTTTATCTGAAACAGGGTACGTGGGTAGAGCTGGGTGGCTCAGAGGCTCAGGGGTTTAACTATGTCTCTGGTTGGGTTTCCCTCATCCCACCCCTTGCCCTCAGTCCCAGCTTCTCTTCTGCCCATTGGCTGATTTTCAGTAGTAGATTTCCAGGCCTTTCTTCCTATTCTTCCTAGTCCATCTTAATCATTAAGCCCCACTGGAATCTCTTCAGCATCAGAGCAGCACGCAAGCCTCCACTGACAGATGTGTGGCAACTGTGCTTAAGGCGTAATGGCTGGGAATTGAACCCATGTCTCCTGTGTGGAAGTGGAGAATTCTACTACTGACTCACTAATGCCTTCCACATGTATATAGTGACACTCGAAAAATACTGAGCACAATAAGTATTTAATGGTAACATAAAAGTAAAAATAATGCTAGTTCTCCACATGTACGTTTACCCTCTCAAAGGTGTAGTGTGTGTCTGTGTAGGTCACAGTGGTCTAGGCGGGACCCCAGTAGCTCCTCTCCCACCATGCCCAGGCAGGTCTGAAGTTTCATGACTCCAACACATTGCATGAAGCATAGGAGGACCTACTGTGCCATGATAGTACTATCAATTCCCGTCCATTCTACCCTGCTAGGAAATCCTTTTTTTTTCCTTGTCCATGAGTTGTTGTTTTTTTATTGTGCATTCAACAGTATTTGTTTCTAGTCCTACTGGTTATTATTATTATTATTATTTTGGTAGTTGTTGTTGTTTCTGTTTTGTACACAAAAACACTCAGGCATATAATAATTTAAACCACCAAAGAACACATTCTGCAAGCCTGCCTCCTGACAGCCAGCACATAACCTTTCTCTTTCCATAAATCTAGAGTCCTCAGCTGCTCCCTCTCTCCATGTCCTCATCTCTGCCTCCATCTCTGGTGTCGCTGCTTCTCTGGATAGGGTCCCACATTCCACTCATGCTCTTCCTAGGGTCCTCTGTTTCTGGACTGTTTTGGTTACAAAACTTCTACCTTTAAAGTTGTGACAGTCACAATTAGTCATGATAAAAATTACTCCCTAGTCATGAATAAGAAACATATCCCCATCTCCTTTCACCAGACCCATCTTTTAAAAGATGTTTCTGCTTTATCCCCAGGCCAACAATTTACCACCACAAGTCAGAAAACCTTTGAACAAACGAATTTCCAGAACACACTCTCTGGGATGTACAGCCCCTTTGTGTTTTCAGCACCAGGAGCCAACATGACTGATGTGCATCTCTTCTGCCTTCTTGCATGTGACCGGGATCCCTGCTGCGATGGCTTCATTCTTACGCAGGTCCAAGAAGGTAATGCCGGCAGGGACGTCCCTCCTACACCACAGCCTTTGCTCTGACAGGGAAGAGGTGACAGTAGGGATGTGAAGGCTGGATATATGGAGACAACTATGAGGTGACTGCACACAGGGAAGATGATGTTTACAGACATGAGGTCAGGGACAACCCCCTCTTGTTCTTACAAGCCACATCTCATAGGCCATAACTGGATGAAAGCAGAAGGGAAGATGGGTCTAGAAAGGAGCATCTGGTGAAAAGGCCCTCTGCGTATAAAGAAGAGATCTGATGAGAAAACTAGCCTCTGTGGAGCATGGAGCACAGGGTTGAGCCTTACTTTGGAAGGACTTGACCAGACAGAATCTTATAGGTTGCATTAGCTATTTTTTATTTATTCTAAGAACAATGGGAAGATCTTGAAAGCTTTAAACAAACGGGTGCCCTGATCAGAAGTGAACTTTACAAGAAGCACTTTGGCTTGAGCATGGAGCCAGGTACTGCATGGGTGGTTAGAGTCCATGCAGAGGGAGGAGTTGGGGTAGTCCAGGGAAGAGAGGACTAGATGATACAGTGGACATGGATAAAAAGGAACAGAGTCCAGATATCTTTTAGAGGCAAAATTAGTAGGACTTTGGGTTCTGGGGGTGGGTAAGAGGGAGATGTCAAAAATCATTGCTAAGAATCTAGTTTGTACACTTGGTTGAGTAGAATAATGTACACTGGTTTGGAGAATAATGAACGATACTAGATACAAGATTTGGTGATGGGAGGAGACACAGGAAGTTCGTGAGTCCTGGTGTGGCACTGTTGGTTAATGCGCTGGACTGCAAAGTCTGTTTGAACCACAAGGTTGGCAGTTCAAGTTCACCAGCTGCTCCTTGACCCTACACAAGGTTGCTATGGGTTGAACTGACTTGACGGCACTTAACAACAAGATTGAAGTGTTCTGGAGACACTCACAGTTGAGCACTAAGTTCTGGAGTTAGAGATCCAGTTGGAGGTGTAAATGCATGAATTATTCTATTCAGGTAGCCTCAGAAGGTGTGGTTACGGATGAAATGGGATTTCCTAGGAAGAGGGTATAGAGTGAAAAGGTGAGGGGGCTGATGTCTGACGGACACCTGCGTAACAGGTCGAGAATTCTCAATGCAGAGGAAAATTGAATAGCTAGGGAGGAAAGAGTTGACTCTGGAAAACATTGCTTCCTGGACCAAGGGAGGAGAGGGCTGAAGATGAAGCGAATGCTGCTGATTGCTCAAACAAGGTGATGTTGCCAAAGGTCAAGTGTAGCTCCCCACAGTGAACAGTGGTCAAAACGAAGATCTTCTGTTAGTGTGCTGGAGCGGAATCCAGATGGGAGTAAGTTGGTTCCTGAACACCCAGGCAGGTTGAATTCTTTATGTTTCTGTGATGCAAATTCCTGGTAATGTTTAGATGTGTGTAGGGATGGGAGTGAACACACATGCATAAATACACACAGAGGTATATCTGTCTTTGTGAATACTGGCACACCTCATTGCATTGTGTTCACAGATACTAAGATTTTTACAAATTGAAGATTAGTGCTGACAAGCCAGGGTTGGACAAGTCTCTTGGCCCCTCTTTCCCAAGAGCTCATGTTGACTACGTGCATCTGTGTCCTTCTCACAGTATTTCAGATGTTTTTAGACTGCTATTGTATACGTCATAGGCTACAGCACATTGCAGACATACATTTATGTGCACTGGGAAGCCCCAAATTGTGTATGACCACTTTATTGCAATAGTTGCTTTATTGCAGTGGTCTGGAACCAAGCCCCCAATCTCTCCCAGGTCCATCTCCACCGATATTTAGAAACACTGTAATTCAAACCCAAGATGTTGACTTTGAACTGAAGGCCTTTTCTCTGCTAAGGTTACCACAGTTCCCCAGATGTCCAATTACTCACAAGACCGCACGGCTTTTCAAGTTGGAAAATCTGATTTCATTTTCCTTAGGATCATGTATGGAAGAATTGCTTCATTCCATGTAGAAGTGAGCCCACACAATCCCTCTTTCCCTGACAGTTCTGGCAAACAGATTGCTCCCTTTTATGTCCAAGTCTAACCTATGATTCAGGAAATTAACCAGAGTTGAGGAGCCAACTAACACTGCTGAGAGCGGAACTCTCACTGACGGCAGCTGTTCCATCCCCTCCCTGTTCTCCAGTCCTGTCTTTTGCGCACATCTGGAGGGTTAATTTACCAATCCGTTGGTTGAATTTTCCCACAACCAACGTCTTTTTATCTCAGCCTGGGAAGTCATTTATCTTGCTGATGTGTGAGTGTGTGATTTTTTCTCCAGTTGTGAATAAAACTTCAGCCTCCTCCATCCCCATCCTCTAAATAGCTTAGTTTCCTTAGGTCAGTTACATGAATGGAAATACACGAGACTTCTGTACCTACATCTTAGTTCAGGTGTCTTTGCTGAGGAACAGAGGGACTTGCTTGTGGAGGTTCACTTGAATGCAGTTGGGGTCACTAGTATGGTGACCCATAGGCTTCCTTCTCGGATGCACTGTCCAAACTCTGCCTGCAGCATGCATTCAAAGCCCCCACGAGACTTTGAAAAGCCAGTTTTCTTCAAGCCGGTGCTGATTCACAGCAACCCCGTACATATTCTAGTAGAACTGGCCTCCAGAGAGTGTTAAAAGCTGAGACTTTTGGAAGCATATTACTGAGGTGCCTCTGGGTGGAGCTGACTTTTGTCTGAACAGCTGAGCATGTTAACCATTTACAACATCCAGGGACTTTGCGGGCACTGTTAAATGCTGTTGAGTCAGTTTTGACTCACAGCAACCGTATGTATGGCTTCCAAGGATCTGCTAGTGGGTTTGAACTGCCAACTTTGTGGTTAGCAGTCCAGTGCTAATCCTACAGTGTCTTCATGAAGAAAATGCCATGAGCATGAGGTCCCCTTTCAAAGGTCTGAGCACAGAAGAAAAATATATACCCTGCCTATTTTGTCACTGTAGGATCAGCACTGGACTGTGACCACAGGTTGGCAGTTTAAACCCATCAACTGGTCCTTGGAAACCTTGTACTGGGTCACTATGAGTCGACGTGATGGCACTTAACAACAACAACAACAACAACAATGAATGTTTAAGTGCATTTTTCTGGGTGGATTTTTTCTGCTCGCCTCTGGCTTCTCTGAGCTCTCGCTGTGGCAGTAGCATGCCTCCTTTTCCTTGCACATGTCACGTGGGGTCTGTGAGAGCAGGTTGAGTGGAACACCCACCTAGTGAGGATCCATGACTCCGGTGCTCTGTGGCACAAACTAGGGATTGCAGAGCTACTGGCTGCCTGCTGGCCATTCCACTGTTTCTCAGCAGTGAGGAAAATCATTCTCCCAAATCTGCTAATTCCCTCGAAACCTCAAAAAGACCACTTTTTTGTTGGGTCTGAAATGGGAACAGAAGATTCTATCAATAATATCCCCAGTGGTAATTTGGGGGCACAGGAGGCTGTCATTGCTCTTGACCCATGAAGAAGATGTTTTAGTAGTGGACAGAGGGTCAGTAGGCCTTGCAGTGGTTCTCCTCTGAAGAATTTGCCAAAAACATAACTGTAGGACCATCAAGTAAGAGTTAATCAATGGAAACCAAGCTCCTGAGTCCCGGTAACCTTGTTCACCATCTCAGATGTGGCTACCTGGACCCTTTACACAGGGACTTTGGGGCACAACGGTAAGTCTCTAAAAGGACCCTGCCGGTTGTCCTCACTGACCTCTCCCACTCTCATAACTCCACAGGCCCCATAATCTGTGGGTTGCTAAGCTCCCCTGACATCCTGCTTTGCAACATTCAAGACTGGAGGGATGGCCCTGAAGCCCAGACAGTGAACACTACATGCCCTGGTGTGACCTATGACCAAGGGAGCCACCGAGTGACATTGCATCTGGGAGGCCAGGATTTCATCACGAGTAAGTATCTGTTCTTGGTCCAAGTCCCTACATGGACAAGGTCCCCTGCTCTCCATGAAACCCTCTCCCTATCTAGAGGGGTTTGTACATCTAAAGAACAACACTGTCAATAATGCTGCATAAAAAAAAATAAGATAGCATCTCAACCACGTTCAACAAGAGCACTGGTTGAGCTCACGGGCTTCCAGTTGGCTGGAGGGAGGTTGCCTTAGCTGGACAGTTCTTCTGACCTCAGCAGGGCTCACTCGGGCATGTCAGGGAGGGTTGGCAGTTGGATGATCTGGTCTGGATTTGGGTGGGATGGTCTAGTTCTACGCCAAACTCCCCATCCTCCTTCTAGATGAGTGTGGACATTTGCGTCTTGTTTTGTTGCTGAGTAGTTTTCAGTGGAGCTTCCAGACCAAGACAGACAGGGAAGAAGGATCTGGTGACCTGCTTCCAAAAGCCAGTCACAGGTCCTCACAGCCACCCCTGCAGAGCCTGTAGTTTGTGCATGGAGCTTCTCTCTCACTCTGAGCCTTCTCACTGTCCACTGCAGACCAGTTGTATGATCTTGAGAAAGTTCGTGAATCTGTTCAACCCTATTGCTTAAGAATAAGTGGTGTGATGACAGTACCCACCTCCCGGTGTTGTTGTGAAGATGAATAGTGGTAATACTACTATTCATTATAAATGGACAACAGCAATACAATTGTTTTACGATGTGGTGTTTACCGAGTTAGGCTTTGCTCCAAAATTTGACAAATGTTGACTCATCAATTTTTTGTACAGTGCCTTCAGGCAGGCATTGTTATTGTCATTGTCTCTTTTTGAAGCTGAGGGAGAGAGAGAAGTTACGTAACCTGCCAAAGTCTCAGACCTTGTACATAGATGAGCTAGGATCTGATAGCAGGTGTTTTGTTCCTAAATGAATGTTCCTAACCAGCCTTCCTATTGATGCTCACAGATAACGCACATAAATAAAACTTAGTAAAGCGTCTGACATATTCGTTGTTGTTCTTCTGACTCATGGTAACCCTGCATAGGGTTTCCAAGGAGCAGCTCGTGAATTTGAACCACTGACCTTGCAATTCAAACCGACCTTGCAGTCCTGTGCTTACCCTACAATGCCACACCAGGGCTCCATATCTGACCTATAGAGAATGTTCAATATTACGTGATACTATTGAGATCTTATTTTTTCTTGTTAATATCTTAAGGACTGGACTGTGCCATAGTGATTTCTGAATTCATAGTGACTAGAATGAAACCCATAATAGAGACTAGAAATGCTATCGGCTGAGAGCATATTGACCAAAGCCTGAAACAAAGTATTCCAGAATCTGGTGCTTACATGAAGATCATTTGGGGGTAAATAAAATCAAATACCTTATTTAGATCCTGGGTAGTAAACATATGGGGCTCATTACTCCAAGAAGTAGTCCAGAGTGAAAACAGATATTTCAAGAGGCTGTAAGATCTATTCATGGGCAATAAATCCAGAGAGAGCTGCTTAACGCAGAGCATGTGCTTGGTCTGCACTGAAGAAATCAGAAGGTGTTCTTGTCTGTCATCCTAAGGAATGGTTTTCAAAATGACTTTCAAGGTTTGTTTGGTCTTCACTATTGTGTGTGTGTGTGTGTATGTGTGTGTGTGTGTGTTGGGGTGAGGGCAAGGCTTTGTGTGTCCTCCATGATGGGCATTTCAGGGGGACTGAGGTCTACTCAAGAGCTCTGTGGGTAAGCACTCAGCTGCTAACCAAAAGGTCAGTGGTTTGAGCCCACCAGCCTCTCCATAGGAGAAAGATGTGTCCATCTGCTTTGTAAAGATTGCAGCCTTGAAAACCTTATGGGGCTGTTCTGCTATGAGTTGGAATCTACTTGATGGGCAATGTGCTTGGTTTTGAGGTCTACTTATGATTGTCTCAATTAGAATCTGCCCCATACACAAAGTGATCAAAAAGTCACTTCTAGTAGGGACAAATAGGGGACCAAGTCTTCCTTCCCTCAGTAAGAGACCAGACTATAAGTACAAATAATCCCTAATTAATAATATATTGCTTTAAATTCATACTGAAATGTCAAGAGCTGTTAGATACTCTTTCTCAAGAGCAGGCATTAATGAAACAAAGTGAAGCAAAATTACAACAGAAGAGGGGACCCTGGTATGGATTTAAAACCATGAAAAGCTGTTGTTGTTGTTGTTGTTAAGTGTCATTGAGTCAGTACCAGCTCATAGTGACCCTATGAGAGAATGAATCACTGCCCAGTCCTGCACCAACCTCATCAGTGTGAGGTTTAAGCTCACTGTTGTAGCCATTGTGCCTGTCCATCCATTGGGGGTCTTTCTCTTTCTTGCTGACACTCTACTTCTTTGTGTTGCTCTGTGGGTTAATGTGCCAGACTGCAAAGCCATTTGCAAGCAACATTGGTGGTTCAAGCTCACCAGCTACTCCTCGGAAACCCTATACAGGGTTGCTATGAGTTGGCACCAACTGGATGGCACTTAACAACAACAGCAACGTATTTTACCAAACATGATATTCTTTTCCAAGGACTGGTCCCTCATGATAACAGGTCCAAAGTACATAACACTTCATCTCTCCATCCTTTCTTCTAAGGAGTATTTTGGCTGCACTTCTTCTACCAAGACAAATTTGTTTGTTCTTCAGGAAGTTCATGGTCCTTTTAACATTGTCCTCTAACATGATAACTCAGATACATTTATTCTTTTCTAGTCTTCCTTATTCATTTTTCTTATTCAGTTTTCACATGCATATAATTGGGGTGTTGGTTTTCTAAATTATAAAATGAGAATATTGCTATCTTCTACCTCCTAAGACTACAACCTATCTGTCAGTTTGTCATACTGTGATGGCTTGTGAGTTGCTGTGATTCTGAAAGCTTTGTCAACCATGGTGGACAGGTTTCAGATGAGCTTCCAGATGAAGACAGACTAGGAAGAAGGAGTGGCAAACTACTTCTGAATATTTAGTCACTGAAAACCTTATAAATAGCAGAGAAGCATTGTTAGACATACTACCAGAGAATGAGCCCCTCAGGTTGGAAGGCACTCAAAATGCGACTGGGGAAGAGCTGCCTCCTCAGAGTAGAGTTGACAATGATGATGCGAATGGAGTAAAGTCTATGGGATAAGAGCCTGCAGAACCTTCATTTGCTGATGGGGCACAGCTCAAAATGAAGAGAAACAACTGTAAACATCCTTTGAAAATCAGAACATGGAATGTATAAAGTATAAATCTGGGAAAATTAGAAGCTATCAAAAATGAAACGAAATCTGGTGAATCGATCAACATCGATATCTTAGGCATTAGTGAGCTGAAATGGACTGGTATTGGCCAATTTGAATCTGACAACCACATGGTTTATTGTGCTGGAAAAGACAAGTTGAAGAGGAATGGTGTTGCATTCATTGTCAAAAAGAACATATCAAGACCAGTCATGAGGTACAACGCTGTCTGTGATAGGATAATATCCATGGTATGATGCTGTGGGCTAATGCGCCAGACTGCAAAGTTGTTT